CATCAAATTGTCCCAGTCCGTGACATCAAATTGTCCCAGCCCCTGACATTAAATTGTCCCAGTCCCTGAAATCAAATTGTCCCAGTTCCTGGCATTAAATTGTTCCAGTCCCTGATATCAAAATGTCCCAGTCCCTGACATCAAATTGTCCCAGTCCGTAACATCAAATTGTCCCAGTCCCTGACATCAAATTGTCCCAGCCCCTGACATTAAATTGTCCCAGTCCCTGAAATCAAATTGTCCCAGTTCCTGGTATTAAATTCTTCCAGTCCCTGGTATCAAAATGTCCCAGTCCGTGACATCAAATTGTCCCAGTCCGTGACATCAAATTGTCCCAGTCCCTGACATCAAATTGTCCCAGTCCCTGACATCAAATTGTCCAAGTTTCCGACATGAAATTGTCCCAGTCCCTGACATGAAATTGGCCCAGTCCCTGACATGAAATTGGCCCAGTCCCTGGTATTAAATTGTCCCAGTCCCCGATTTCAAAATGTCCCAGTCCCCGATTTCAAATTTTCCAAATTTCATTCATGAACTACCAGCAACATGGCAACTGTGACACAAATCAGTCAAATGAGTAATCTGTCTTCCTAGGGAACCAATATGCTGAGGAAACCATTAATGCATTTTATGCCAATATTACTACAACATTTCCTTGAGTAATCAAGTAAAAATGTCACCACAGCTTAATGTAACTACATTACTTAGGCTCTTGGTAGAGTAGACTGCTCTAGCCTTCCATGAAAATTGATCTTCCCACTGCTACAGGCAGATTTCATATCTAAGTGCTTTGAGATAAAGCCATCATGTCAAATTAATAATACAAAGAGTTGATTTGCCTTGATATTTCTGTCTCTGATACACCTTCACCTCCTGTATTGTGATATATGAGATCATACTCACTTAATTACTTTGTATTGTGATATATGAGATCATACTTAATTACTTTGTATTATGAAGTGATATACCTACAAAATAACACATTCCTCTAGTTTTTTTATCAGCTTTCATTACAGGTCTACCTTTAGAAAAACATCCCACTTGTAAACTGATATACAGTATCAAGGGGATCATGTAATATTATACAAATAGTTCGTGTCTACTGTAGTTTAAAGCAAAATGTTGGACACAGTCAACATTCTTGGCCTTTAGTTAATGTATGAATGTCAGCAGAGTATCCATATGTCTGTATCACTGTAAATTCTGGCTCTAATGCACCACTATAACTAATTATCAAAACAACAGGTCCCAATGTTAGTCTACTAGCATATAATGCACACTCAATTTAAGGCAAATTAATGTTCAAATCCGTTTCATATTTCACTTCCAATGTGGACTCTTGAGTGCAGAGCTCATGATTGGAGAGGCCCCACTGTATCCCAGCTTTTCCACTGCATCCACTGTTATTATTATTATTATTATGACTATGTTAGACAAGAAATTATAAGAGCTGATGACTACATCTCTCTCAGTAATATTTAAATGAAAACAATCTTAATTATCACTCTAACTGTTATACAATGCACTCATGATATCTCAGTAATACTAAAGCTAAACCTGCATTAATTAACATGTTTCAATAAAAATACCCCACATTTGTATACTGTATATGTTTGTCCTTTCATATCTTTGCCATTAGAAACGAGACCATACTCAGCAAGGCTTTGACTATCAACATTTCACAGGTACTCAAGTACAGAACCTTGAAATGCTGACCAGCGACTGGTTTCTCTGAGGGATTCTGTAAGCTTAGCAACCAGACCACACTATTTGTAAACAGAAGCTTAAAGCAGTGAATACAACCACTGATAACATGAAGGCCTTCTCTCTAGGGCTCTTCACAAAGGCACTTTTCAAGAGTTTTATCAATAGATCTCATTACACCGAGCACATTAATCATCCTTCAAGTCACTCAATCCCTTACACACTGTCAGTGAGATTGTGTTAGTGGAGACAGATATCACATTTTGTTGCTGTTCTTTACTTTCATTTTATACCAGGCACTATTGCCCTAGAAGGTCTTATACCTGGTTTAACATTTTCTTCTAGTTCCTGGTGCACCTGAAGGTCTTAAATATCCGCGTGCAAATAATAAACAAGTTCAAATTAGAAGTGCTAGATCTAAAGGGACAAAATGCATATTTAAACACATAGGTTTTTACTTAAAACTAACTTAAAAGTACATGTACATAACAACATCTTGTTAACTTACATGTACCTGAGGCCAAGTAAAACATTTTGAAAAATTTTAAAAGATAAATGCCAAGAATTAATATCTAATGTATCATGAATGAAACCCTCCTTGCCACCAGTTGACCATAATATGACACAAACTTGGGATATTCATTCAGAGATGGGAAATATGACTACAGGAAATGTTCAAATCAATGTATACTGAATACCATTATGGGTCAATGTTTTCTTAGATTGTTAAACAGTTGTGCCAGAAAAGGAGGATTAAAGATCCAACAGACAGTCGGCTTAAAATCGGTACATGATCACCTATAGCCTCTACATATATTCCTCAATACAAATTTGAACACGCGCCAAACCCTCCCCCCCCCCCCCACCCACACACCCAAACACACACACACACACAACAGCCGGTGTTCCAGACAATTGTATGACAAAACTAAAATGGGTTTCTAAAACGAAAGAGGCCACATTTAAAGTAGATCTAAAGCTAAGTAGAACTAGATTCATTTGGGAGATGATTGCTTATATTAGTAAAGATACACTGTCACTAAAAATGAACAGTTCAGAATTATGAAACTTCTCCAACAAGTTGAACAACACAAAAAAAACTGTGAAAAGCGCTCATGGAGGCCGAAACGAAATATCAGCGTGAGGGTCGACCAGTAAACACACTTTTTTACATTTCCAAAGTGTTTCTTTTGCCGTCACCCCATTGCCAAAAATTTATTACGAGCAAATTCAACTCCAACAACAACCTCACCTCCTTCTGTTTTGACGTCCACGCGTGAAATGAACAGCACGCAACTTCTCTGCGCACAGCGGTGCATTGTGGGAATTTAAAGGTCACCGGAAGTTAGGATCACAAGCAGGTAGTTGTCAATATTTTATTGGTAATTTTCCCAGTTTAACAGCTGATGGTTGTGTTAAATCTTAGTTTAATTATGCATGTAAACGCGCGAGTCTTATTAAATATATCGTGCTTAAAAGTTTGCTGCCGTATTCAGAAGACATTCATAAGGTGTATGTAGTCCTGCCGAGGCCGTTTTAATGAAACAGTGAAAGTCGAATCTAAACATTGAGTCATGTGATTTGTATAACAAACCTTGAGTTTACCACAGTGACCCTTGGTTAATTTTTTTACTATCTGGAAATAGTCTGCTTTAACATTCTGTAGTTTTTTTAATGATATAAAAGTACGTGTTTGAAAATCGTGTTTGCTATTCATTTGTTTGTGAATGCCTCATTTAAGTTTAAGTATTTTCATAATATTACCTATTTTTATATAATATAAATTATTTTAATTATTATTTATATAATCTGTATTTATGAATATCAGTTTAATTGGGGTTCAGACAATGTGAATAGGATTTGTTTTGTAAACTATATAGTAGAAATGATTGATGAAGAAACAGTTCAGTCGTACAGAAAATAAACAATTTGTTTAGAAATGTAAAAGACTAGAGCATTTTAGTCAGAAGTGAGCATTGTTAAATTATGATAAAGCAAAACCTTTGCAAGATACTGTCCTTTAATGAGATAGCTGCTATTGCCAGGTGTGATGTTATTTTTACTGTCAGGTGATACTGTTATGTTTTCTGATGAAATATTTGTTATTGATCATGAGACAGCTGAAATAATACACCCCCTCTTTTTGTTATGCTGGTGGTTTCCCAGACCTTCAATTATATAAGTGCTTTAATCATTTTTAATAAAATACACATGGCAAGATAGATGTTGAATGAAAAATTATTTTAAATTATGAGCAGTGTAGCTTAGTTAATTCCAATTTGGCAAAGGAAAATATAAAATATTTTTCTCTCTTTTGCCAAATTTCTTATTGGTAAAATTCTACTTTTTTGTATGAATAATATTATCCAAAATTAATTTGGCTGATAGAAATTTAATACTAAGTAGATTCAAAAGTGTCAGTATGCAAAGAAATCACTGTTATGAAATATAAAAGGAATGAAAAATTGTTACTTCTAATTTTGTTATTGTGTTATTCATAAACCATTGAAAGCTTTTGTTAAGGAATGAGCCAAGTATTTTATTCATGAAAATAAAGCCATTGCAGAAAAGATAAAGACACCAGAAAATGTGACTGTTCAGTACTAAAGGCATTGTTTACAGATGTGTGTATTGGAGAGTTAAGTAAGCTTTTATTCACATCACTTTATATGCATATTGATTACATATTGATCTCTGTCATGCTCTGGGCCTCAATGTGGTGTAGACACTGTATACTAATAATATGGGATATAATTGAAGCCAAAAAGGAAGGGAGATTGTCTGGTAGATTTTGGAAATTTATTTTTTGGCAGAAAAATTAAAAATTTGTCAAAAAAAAAAGTTTTCCAAACCTATTTCATCATAATTACCTCATGTAGAAAGTCTTACAGCACACAACATATTTCAATCAGAGTGGTGGCAGGCTGGACAATATAGGGATTAGATTGGCTTTCTTTGGTGATGTAATCATGACCAGACAGCCTGCTAAGACAGAGTGAACTGAGTTATGCAAATCCAATGTGACTGGAAATACGGGACATTGAATGATCTCACTTGTCCATGATGGCTGATGCTATGCCAGGACATAGAACAGCCTGTCACTAGTATCAGTGAGATCAACTAGTGACCTGGAAGTGGTAGATAATGAAAGCCATGTGGTGTAATGTTTCACCAGAGACAGCATATCCTACACTGTAGCACAGTGGCTGCTATAGTAAGCCTTACTCCAACACATGAAAGTTTTGCTTGCTTAGAGCTAAATTACTGTCTAATACCCTTGCCAGTCTATCAGAGAATATTTTCAAAGAAATAATTAGGTTCTTGGTCCCAACATTGCAGTGAATACAGGTGAGAGAAATCTATATGGCAGTGCTTGTGTAAAACTGAAGTTGTTAAGGTAGTCACAGTACTAGTGTCATGAGTGATGAATGCCAGTGTAAGGGGGTCTGATACATTTTAAAGGCCTAGATTTAGTAAAATAGCTTTCCCTTATTTCTTATAAGTAAAATACTTATACTTAAGGGGGTATACTGAATGAGTCCTTAATGGTTTGAACATTTTCCAAAGTCATATTTTGTGTCTATATTAACATATATATATCCTGCTAAGCCCTTTATCAATGTTTTCAAATTTTGACCTTAAAAGCTATAAAATCTCTAAAATATAAGTATCTGACAATGTTAGTTCCTTCTTAATATAAATGAAGACGCTGTTCTAAATGACTCAGGCCAAGACTTTCAAAAGGGAGGATCTTTCTTAAAAAGAGTGGACCTTTTATAATGAAATCTTTCTGTACCTAGATAAGTTTTACCCAGGATGGACCTTTTTCCTGACAAAAAGGATGATTCTTTCAAACCCCCCCCCC